TCTTTAACAAGAGGTGGGAGACCGATTCTCTCAAATAACAGCCATTGCGGTAGCTTCAGCCCAAAATTCAAATCCCAAATCCGTCGTATTCAGCATACATCTAGTCTTCTCTAACAGTGACCGATTGAGACGTTCAGCCACTCCATTTTGCTAAGGCGTGTAAGGTGTAGTTTTCTGCTTTGCAATTCCGTGTGTCACACAAAATTGCTCAAACTTACTAGAGCAAAACTCACCGCCATTATCAGTTCACAAAGCTTTAATCTTCCTGTCAAACTGATTCTCAACTAAGGCTTTAAATTCCCGAAATTTCCCAAAAGCCTCATGCTTGCTGCACATGAAATAAACCTAACAGTATCTAGAAAAATCATCAATGAAAGATACATAATACTTTGATTTACTAATATATTCCACTTGAGTTGGCCCAAAAACGTCACTATGAATTAACTCTAGTATTTTTGTTGCTCTCGTGCCTATCGATTGAAAACTAACCCGATTCTGCTTGCCTTGTAAACATTCCTCACAAAACCCAAAACTCATGGAACAGTTAGGAATACCTTCAGCCATATTCTGAGTCACCAAAGTAGACAAAGCCGTCTCTCCAATGTGCCCTATTCGCTGATGCCACAATGTTGCAGAATCAATTTCTTTTTCAGCCTCCTTTTCCGAAACATAACCACCCAAAGAGGAATTTCTTACAACTGATGCTTGCAGCCTGTATAGTGTACCATGTCGAACTCCTCGTGCAATAACCATAGATCCCCGAGTCATCTTACAGGATGTTCTGTCACAATTGAATACTATACCTGCGTCAGCCATTGTTCCAACAGAGAGCATATTTCTACTCATACCAGGGATGTGCATCACTTCAGGGAGCGTCTTCACTGAACCATCATGCAACCTCAACCTGATTTTCCCGTGGCCAATAATCTTCACAGCAGTATCATCTCCTAACATAACGTTTCCTCCATTGTATGTCTCATACTCACAAAACCATTCCTTGTGAAGTGTCATATAGAATGACGCACCAGTATCAACATACCAGACTGATTAGTCTGCTCCAGCCATACATGTAGCAGCCACATACATATCACCATTTGATTCCTGTTTGTACGAAATTTCAGCTTCCCTCCCCTTCACTAGTTTGTTTCTGCAGTCTTTCTTAAAATGCCCAAATTCCTGACATCTCCAGCATTTAATCTTACTTTTATCCTTGCTCTTAGATCTACCTCGCGACTTTCCCCTGTCGCCAAACTTATTAGAATTCCTATCAAGGTTTCGTCCCCTAGCAGTTAAAGCATCCCCAGACAAACCCTCTGAACCTCTTCGCCGCATATCCTCTACCAACAATATGGAACATACAGATTCCCACGACATCTGTGTCAATCCTCCACCACCAATCCCAACAATCAGATTGTCCCACGTATCAGGCAGCGAGCATAACAATGTTACCACTTTCTCAGATTCGGTGAGTTGTACATGTGGCTAGCAGTTGATTCACTAGAGTATTAAACTCATCCAGATGTGCAGCAAGAGAATCCCCATCATGCATACAGAGATTATAGAGTTTCTTGCGACGGAACAGCACGTTCACCAAAGACTTACTCAAATACATATTTTCTACCTTCTGCCATAAACCCTTAGCCGTATCTTGATCCATCACATTCGTTAGAACAGAGTCCTCAAGACAAATGCGAATCAAACCTCTGGCTTTCCGATCCATCGTGTCCCATTCACAAGTGCGGCACGATCAATCGCTGATAATTCTCCTTCAGCAGGTTTAGACCCAAGCGTACTTGACAATGCAGTTCCAAACGTTTCACTCGTCGTAACAACGGCAGTCCCGACTGTCGGCCTATCATTCACAATTGCACCCCACAGGTCCCTATCAACGAGTAGATCCTTCATCTGTAGTTTCCAAAGCTCGAAGCGTTTGCCGTCAAACTTCTCAATCTCAACCTTTGATCCTGCCATCTCTAAATCACAATCTAACAAAACCTCGTTTTGATACCAATTGAATGAAATAGAGACAACAATAGGAACAAAATAAAATAGTAAAACAAATCAAACAGTAAACAAAGAAAATAACACGCGTGATTTACCCTGGTTCACCCAATGTGGGCTACGTCCAGCTAAGTCAATATTGTTGCAATATGCCTTACCTCTCTCGTTTACAATGAATGAATTGCTCTCATACACATAACAAGAGAAAAGAATGTTTATATACTAGGTTTAAGAGACTAAACCTAGTTTTACAAGGATTCATATTCCTAAGCCCAACCCAATAAAGAATTAGTAACTTAAAAGAAATGCTACAGCGGTTATACATGGAAAAGCCCAAAACCGCCTACCGGCTGGGGTGCGTCTGCCCCCGCGACCCCCGTCTGCTCACCGGGGAGCGAGACACCCGCCCGCTGACCGGTCAGCGGGACCCCCGAGTGCGTCTCCGTTACCCATTAATGCTGAAGTAGTCGACAACTCCAACAGTGGTTAATTAACAACTAAAATATAGTTCACACAAATGGATACGTATAAAATATTTTAATTTTCATTCATGGAGGAAATCAAACTTAATTATGGTGTTGATTCCTTCCTAAGGGTTAATTAATTAAAACAGTAGATGAAATATCTTTGCATGTGGCACTGGCAACATCAACTTTCAAGAATGGGCCTTTTTTATTTTAATTAAGAATGATGGTGTTAGAACTTTAACATTTTATCTAATAAGATTTTATTTTTTTAATAAACCCAAAAAAAATATTAACTTAATTTTGTCAATGATGATTTGCTTCAATCTAATGGTTGTATACGGATAGTTGAAAGTGGTTATTTTTATATGTCACCTCATCACCTTTTAAACTTTTGGATTATGATTTATCAGTAATTATGTATTAATTAGTATTTTAAATTGAGTTAAAAATTAAGTTATTTGTAATCGAACCTCAATAACTTTTATATATATTCTACCTCTTGTGAACATTTTACTCTTTTCTTTTAATCTTATTTTTATTCTTTCTACACTATTATTTTATAATGAATATGTAACATTTTTATTAAAACTAAATAATTTATTAATTAATTACAACCAAAAAATCATTGAAAAACTTCTAAATTAAACCAATTTTACCAAAATTACCTATTTTTGTTTAATATTAATTTCTATCAATAATTTTTGTGTCAACGTACCCTAACGTCCGACTAGAAGAAATACAGGTGTAGTTAGAAATCAGTTTACCTTTTTAATGGTTTTATTGAGTGATTAATATTTTGAAGTGTACTTAGCAATATTCGTATATAAAGGATCTGCATTTTCGGCATATACAAAAAGACTAGACATATTTTTCTGCAAATACATTTCTTTCTACTTTTGAAATCACTTTCTTGCAAAGCAAAAGCTTATTTATAAGTTAAAATAAAATTAATAGCCTCTTTCTAGTTCTTTTTTATTTTTATTTTCTTTGTTTCGGTATATAGAAAAGATGATAAAAATGTAATGTAAATTATTATTATTTTTTTATTTATTTAGTAACAACTCATATAATATACAAGCAACAATACAATCTGAAACTCCCATTCATCTATAAATAAACATAGTAGATGGGACGTACTAATTATGCCATAAAACTTAAGCAAATAAGAAATAATCAATAAACAGCACAAGCTGCTCAAATGTAAATTTATATAAAACAAACCAATATGACAAGATACTAGGACACATCGCACCAATATATATTACTAGGGAGCACTCGGACAAATTCAAGAGTTGTGGTTAATTTGAAGGAGGTGGAGAGAAGAAAGGAATAGAGGGAATTGTAGTTGGGATGGAAGGCATGCTTGGAAGAGGTGGGAGAGTGAGTTTTGGAAGAGAAGGTATGGTAGGCATAGAAGGAAGTGGTGGCAATGTAGGGTTTGGCAAAGATGGTTGTGTGGTCGGGAATGTTGGCAACGTAGGTTGTGGCAGTGTAGGCACTGAAGGCAAAGGTGGCAATGCCGATGGTTTAGGCAAATTTGGCAACGTAGGCAAAGGTGCCAATTGCAATAGATGACGAGCTGCTAGCCCTACATCCATGGAAGAAAATGTTGTCAAAACAACAAAAATAGATAAGATGAAGAAATTCCTGGAGGCCATTCTTAATAAGAAGAATGCCATCTTAAGCAATCAAACAAAGAGTTTCTTAAAATTTGAGTAGTGAAAGTTTTTACCAGAAATCTGTGAGGCTAGGTCAATCAGATTGTTGATATTTAAGGCATAGTGTATTGTGGGAAACACCCTTAATTAGTTTACCGCTCATCCAACCTACACAAGAAAAAAGTCAAATGTAGTTATGGTTAGTTAGAATGAACTGGTTAATTATAATTTAAATGGAATTATGATATATATATATATATATATATAGATGGATAGGAATTTTGCCTTTAATACGTTATACCAGTAACCATTCACCAAATCCCAATTGTAATTTGCTAACTAATATAGCGGTCTGTTTCATTATTATAAGTTTAACTAGGTTCATTACTACCTATAAATTGATAATCTTTTCTTGATCCAGACAGCTGAAGGAGCACCTAGGCAATTACGTTGGACCTTGAGTTAAAAATATTGCTATATTATTTCTAATATTATATTAAAGTTCTCTTTTGATAACATTTATTAATATATTTGTTCTTTATATCTAATTAAATATTTATATTTTCCATTTTAAATTGAACACGACATTGCTAGTGAATAGTGATGATGATGTAAATCCAGAATTCGTAATATATATAATATATATTAGGTGAGAAGTTGAACTAACTACAAGTTTCTCTCTAATTAATTTCGTTTTTCATTATTCTTCTTTTTGGTCTACCAACCCAAGAGCTCCAAATCCCCTGTTCTCCACCTCCCATAACTATAAAAAGCTAATCACTTCACATGAAAAATCATTCCACAAACTCATCACTTTAACATCTTTTCAACTCAATCAAGCCTTCTATACTGTTATACATAATCAGATTCAACGATGGCCACTCTCCGTGTCCCATCATTTATCTTACCAATTTTGCTAATAACTTTGTCTTCCTTAAGCTACAATGCTTATATAATGGGTGCTCGTCATCTTTTAGAGACTCCATTGCCGGAGATACCTAAGCCTAAATTGCCTGAGCTCCCGCCATTGCCTAAGGTTGAATTGCCACAAAAACCTGAGTTACCTGAGCTTCCGAAGCCTGAGCTCCCTAAAATTCCTGAGCTCCCAAAGCCTGAGCTCCCCAAAATACCTGAACTACCCAAAGTGCCAGAGTTGCCAGCAGTTCCTCATTTGCCTGATCCTCCTAAGCCCACATTGCCCAAGGACTTCCCTGTGATTCCTACGCACTCAACCACTGATCCTTGAATTATATATATATATGTACTTGTTGCCGATGATTTATGTACTTTATCTGCATTGTTTGAGTGCTCTTGCTTGAGCTTGGTTCCAATAGTGGGAGTGTTATTCATTTGTAGTTTCTCTGATATATGTGTGTGTGTGTGTGTGTGTGTGTGTGTGTGTGTGATGTTTATTAATTTATGATCCTTGATTAAGTCTCTCTCATATTAGTTTATGATTAATATAAAGTTCACATGGACGAAGCACGTATGAAACAATTTAATTTCCATTATTCATGGAGGAAATCAAACTTAATTTTGGTGTTAATTCCTAAGGGTTAATTAATTAAAACAATAAATGAAATATCTCGGCATGTGGCATTGGCAACATCAACTTTTAAGAATGGACCTTTTTTATTTTAATTAAGAATGATGCTGTTAATACTTTAAGTTGTATCTAATATAATTTTTTTTTTTCTTTTTTATAAACTCACTTATTGACTTTTCAAAAATTTCAAAAAAGTATTAATGTTTTATAGATTTTACAATTTTAATGTCATTTAACTTTTTACTTCTCTTCATTTCCTCTCATATTCTCTTATATTATATTTTTACTGATAATTATTCTATAGCATTTTAAGTTTAACAATGTTACAAAAAACTTATCTACAACATTTTAAAAATGTTATAGATTACAAATCTATAATATTTTAAGAATGTTACAAAAAAGTAAGCTATAACAATTTAAGAATGTTACAAAAATTAATTTATAACATTTACGAAGTGTTCACTAAAATCATCTGTAACTACAAACTAGTGCTATAATATATTCAACAATAAAATTTAAATAATTATTAATAACATAACATGCAAAAAGTGTTACCTAAGCCTCATTTTTTTAGTAACATGGACTGTAACACCTTGCTCAAAAATGCTACTATTTATCTACAGTAGCCCTTTTGGCATGTTATCATAGAACAATTTTGTTGTAGTGGTTAGATACTTATATTTTTTATATACGTTCTAATAATGATTTTTGACATTAAATGGAATCGGTACTCTTGCTGAAAAGTTAGTTCAAACAAAGAAAAATGTTTTATATCACTTCATTTATTTACTTTGTGAAATTAGCATTGATATTACCTGTTGCAACTGAAAGTGTTAAAAGAGCATTTTTCTGCGATGAAGACTGTAAAAAATCAACTACAGAATTGAATAGGAGATCAATTGTTAAATGATTGTCTTATTACATATATTGAGAGAGAGATATTTGATGGAATTGTTAATGTAACAATTATGCAACGTTTTCAAAATATAAAAAATCGTCGAGGACAATTATACAATTGATAATTTGATATATATATATATATATATAACTTTTAAAAATACATTTTTTATGTTTATTATTTCGGTATATATTTTATTATAAATTTATCAATTTTGATGTTTTGAACCAACTGACTCAGAATCCTGGCTACGTGTGTATATATATAATTTTCAACCAAATAATTTATTTTTGGGATCAAAATGGCAACTTAAGAGTAGGGCTGTGCAAAAAAATCCGATTTCCAATATCCGATCCTATCTGCTCCGCTCCGCTCTGGAAAAATCGGATATCCTAAAATTCGGATCGGATACGGATCGGAATTTAGCAAAATTCGAATATTCGGATCGGGATTATTAAAAAATTGGATATCCGTATCCAATCCGAATTTTACAAAACTACGTCGTTTTGAGTTTTAAAAATTAAATTAACCCTAACACTAACAGTCTAACTCAGTAACTCTAACACAATTAAGTCAACTCTCTGTCTCTCTCACTCTCTGTCTCTCCCAGCTCTCGCTCGAACAGGAACACGCAGTCACGACTCACGCACAGTCGCACAGCCTCTCATGGAGTCACGGTCTCACTCTCTCAGACCAGGTCTCGTCTGTCGTCTCAGTCTCTCACTGTCTCTCTCGCTCAAACAAGCACAACCTTTCACTCTCTCAAACCAGATCTCGTCTGTCGTCTCAGTCTCTCACTGTCTCTCTCGCTCAAACAAGCACAACCTTTCACTCTCTTAGACCAGATCTCGTCTGTCGTCTCAGTCTCTCACTGTCTCTCTCGCTCAAACACGCACAGCCTTTCACTCTCATCTCAATCTCACTTTGTCTCTCTTCCTCAACTCTCTGACTCTCTCCCTCGAACACGCACATACAGACACACAGTCAGTCAGCCACTCTCTCGATGTCTCACTCTCTCTCGCTCGAACACTCTCAACTCTCTCGGTGTCTCACTCTCTCTCGCTCAAACACTGTCAGATCTCAGTCTCTCTGACGATTGAAGCCCCAAATCGATTGTTGTCACAGCCTAGTGCGACTGCCACCACACCATAATAGCTTGGTATGATTTCGTGGTGCTTATTTCTTTATTATTGTTGGTGATGGTTTGTTAATGTTACAATTTGATGGGTGTTTTGTTTTGATGTTGATTTGAGTTTGATGTTAATGGCACCGTAATATGGTGCCTTCTCTCTTTGTCCCGGTTACAAACCTTCTTTTGTTCATTAGTATTGAATTATTGATTTGTGTTTTGAACCTATTACAAGGTTGATGGAGGCTGGGTTTGATTCAAACTGTGCCGATTGGGTTTGTACTCATCCAAGCGTTTACTTACTGTGATGGCGAATGGAGTGTAGAGGCTTGGTCTGATTTAAGTTAAGGTGTTTCCCTAATTTGATGTAAATGCCACAGGAGCATTTATGCTCTTTGGGTTTCCTCTGTGCTGCAGTGCTGCTTATGTTTGTAGTTCATTGAAACTGCTTGCATCTTAGATTATTATTATTATTCACTTTGATGTTGTTCCTATGAAATGTGACACATTCTAATTGGTGACGGATTGCCTATGTCCTTGCAATATGGCTTTGGAGCATTATTAGCCTTAAGGATTGAATTATTTGATTTTAATAAGAAAATCTTAAAATTCGAATAAATTTTGGATATCTGATTATCCGATCCGAATAATCGAATATCCGTAAAATCGGATATCCACATAATTCGAATCGGATTCGGATCAATATATAGCCTGATCCAAAAATTCAGATCGGATCAGGAAAAGCCCTATTCGGATCGGATATCCGGATTTGAACAGCTCTATTTAAGAGGGCTTGAATTGGGTGACAAACTTCTAAATTAAACCAAAATTTTCAAAATTACCTATTTTTGTTTAATATTAGTTTCTTTCAATTTTTCTGTTGTCAGAGCCTAACGTCCAACTGGGAGAATTCCTAGTGTAATTAGATGTAAATTTGCCTTTTTAATGATTTAATTGGAGTTAATAACTTAATCCCCTAAGTATGATATAAATAACATAATTCCTCTGAAATTTCGGAAATAACAAAAATCGGCCTCCTATACAATAGGAGGGTAGTTTGATAATCTTTACTTTTTAATGGCTCACTAACAATTTATTAACAGTAAGGGAATTTCTACTATTTCAAAATTTTCGAAGGAATTTTTTTTTTTTTTTTGTGCGGGGGGGCGGGGCGGGGCGGCGCGGTGGTGGGGTTCTTTTGTCATTAACTCATTTAATTGAGTAAAGGGAAATATTTTTGTAGTGTACTTAGCAACATTCTTATATTACGGATCTGCAGTTTCGGCATATACAAAAAGGCTTGATAAAAGGGCCACACCTACGCTTGAAAAATACCAAGTCTGGGTCCTATGATTGGATGCAAGACATGGCCGTGGATCCAGTTTATTTATTTATATGTATTTTATAATTTTACTTCTTAAGAGTTTTAACATAATATTTATTGTGTGGACCAAACTCACATTTTTTTGTGCATATATATGATAAGTAATCTTAATACAGTAAAACCTCTCTATAGTCATAATGGTAGGACTAACTAATTTTATTAATATGAGGAGGTTACAACTGAATGGAGGTGTAGTTACAAAAATTATAATTTTGATTTCTTAGGCTTCGTTTGGCTCAAGTTTGGGGATACTACTTTTAGTATTCCCAATAAAGTTAAACAGTAATATACCCAAAAACTCACAATATTATCCAATATTATTCAACTTTTTTTAAACCCCCCTAAATTTGTTAATTTAATTAAATATCCCTAAATATTTTTTTTCAAAATTGCAAAAATACCCCTAAACCCACATTATACCAGATTTCGGCCACCACTGTCGGAAGTTGGCCCGAATCTGGTAGGATGGCACACTATCGGTTGGATCTTGCTGATAGTGCGCCGATCTACCCTTTTCTAGCCAAATCCACGGTGGATCTGGCTGGAAAAGGCCAGATCTAAGGCCAAAGATCTGGCCGTTGACGGTCAAATCTAAGGCCGTAACCAGTCGCCAACAACGGCCAACATATGGTCGTCGTTGACCATCGACGACGGTCGTATCTTTGGCCGTCATGGACGGCCATATCCACCGTGGATCTAGCAGGAAAAGGCCATATCGGCACACGACCGCCAAGATCCAGCCGGTCATGCACCAATATGGCGACTCCGGCCATCCTCCGGTGGTGGTGGCCGGCTATCTGTATTTGATGGGTGGGTTAGGGGTGTTTTGGTTAACTTTTAATGTTTTATTATAGGGGTGTTTTGTAAAAAAACAAACATAGGGGGTATTTTATTAATTTGTAAATCCTACATCGTAATACCCGCCCAATTCAACTTTTTTTTAACTTTTTCAAAAAACTTTTCCTAAAAACGTAAAAATGTGAACCAAACGAAGCCTTATTTTTTAATTCATGTTTTAGTAGTACAATATTAAGATTTCAATTCATATTTTAGTAGTATTAGGATTTCAATTCAACGTTTCAGTTGCCTACTTTTGAAATGGATAGAAGATCGTGTCTTGAAACTAGCAAAGATAAGTGTCATTGATGGAATTATAAATGCGGTTGATGCATGATCAATTGATGTGAAGCCACATACAATTGTCAATGGTTTTAAGCATTGCAAAATTAGGACCCTCGATTTCAATGAATTGCAAGTTACAAATGAAGTGAACAAGGAAAATAAAAGTC